TTTCAGAAAGTTTACTTGAATATCAGTCTCTTGTTTAATCATCAACTGTCTGTTGAGGGTTTATTTATTGGCAGATGTGATAATGTTACAAATAATGGTAGATAGTATGAAACAAGAAAGAAATGTTGTTCCCAGGAGTTTATCCTTAAGTGGACATCATAGAGAATAAGCAAATACAGTACTGTCTAAATCTGTAGCAAAGGATATTGAGCATTACCATGTGATAGCTTTGCCTAGTATCAGAGGTGCACCTAGGAAAAGTGTCCTAATGAATCAGAGGAACACTCAGAGCATTATCAGCACATGCTTTCTGAAGCACGTCAACTAACTACCAGGCACTCAGATGTCTCTCATTATTTTTATTGATTAAAGTATAATGATTAATAATACTGTTAACCTGTTGATGGTGGTCTCAAGTGTACGTAATTTCAACATCACACCCGTTGCCAATTTATGCACCCTTCTCATCTAAGGTCCCCTTTCAACCCATGCCTCTTCCCCCCAAACTCAGTTCTGTGAATCAGTTCTCCCATTGTGTTGCTTTTGGTTCTTTGTCGATACACTGCTATATATATCTTTTATTTATGAGAGAGATTATTCTGTATGTATCACTTTTCTTCTGACTGACTTAATGCAGCATGATATCCTCCAGTTCCATCCATGGTCATGGAGATTTCTAAATTTCTAGCAATAAAATCTAGTTAGAATCCATTGTAATAAATCAAACTAAAGATTGTGATGATCTCAACTAGGGAAGTGGTGTCAAATCAGTTCCATTTGACCCAGCAATTTTACTACTTGGAATATACCCTAAGGGTCCAAAAACTAAATGTTGAAAAGACATTTGCACCCTTATGTTCCTTACAGCACTATCCACTATAGCACTGCAGCTCTGTCCTCTCATTGTTCATCGATTTGCTCGAGCAGGCACCAGTAACGTCTCCATTGTGAAAGTTGTTGTTACTATTTTTGGCATATTGAATATGACGGGGAACTTGCCAGGCTTTGCCGTGCAGGTGGAATAGTCTCTGTAGCTTGCGGGGCTCTCCGAAAGGGACGGAGGAGTACAATCTGGGTCGGCCATGTGCAAGGCAAGTGCCCTACCCACTGTGCTATCACTCCAGTCACAATAGCCAAAATGTGGAAATAACTCCAGTGTCCCTAATAGATGACTGGATAAAGAAACTATGGTACATATACACAATAGAATACTATGAGGTCATAAGAAAAAATAAAGTGATGAAATATGTTTCTACATGGAGGAACCTGGAGAGTATCTTACAGAGTGGAGTTGGAGGGAGAGGCAACTTCACAGAATGATCTATCTCATATACAGGGTATAAAGAGACATAATGGTGGAATAATGAATACTCAAAGAAAACAAAAACAAGAGCATGAGAACTGGTATTCAATAGGAAACATGTCTATTGAGGGAATTGAGGGATAAGGCAGAGAGGGGGCAATATCTATGGTGGAGCGAAGCATTCAACTGAGAGGAGGAGTTGCTACTGAAACATGGTAAAGTGTTATGTGTGAAACACTATCAGCAACAGTACTGTAAACCACTTATTTGAGCAAGTGCAAAAACTTATTTAAAGCACTTATTTAAATCAATGCAATAAATTTTAATCACTTATTTTAATAAATGCAAAAACTTATTTAAATAAAAAAATTGCTTCTCATAGAAGCAGACTGGTGAGTAGGAGGAGGAAGGCATTGGTAGAAGGATGTGGACCAATAGATGTGGAAGGGATCAGTGTTGAAACATTGCATGCCTGAAACCCATCAATAACTGTAATTTCATTGTGACTAAAAAAAATAAATTTTGAGAGGCTGATGACATAGTACAGCAGGTAGGGCACTTGTCTTGCCTGCAGATGAACAGGGTTCAACCCTCAGCACCCCATATGGGTCCTAAAGCCCCTCCAGGAGTGATTCCTGAGTACAGAGCCAGCTTTAAGCCCTCAGCACTGCCAAGTGTAGCCCCCAAACAAAAAACAAACAAAAAAATAAGCACAGAGAGCTTTAGCCAACTAAGTCACGTAGTATTTTGAAGTATGGTCAGGGTGTTTACAGCATTCAAGGAAGACTTAGAAATTTTGTTAATTTTTGAATGATTAATAAATTTTCAGACAGATTATGATGAGTCCTTCAGGGTGGGAAACACTCAGTGGTACTCAGCAACTACTCCTGGCTAGGTGCTTTAAGGCTTGCAGCATACAAAATATGTGCTACAGCGCATTAAACCTCTCTGGCTCTAAGACTGAGTCATTGATTAAAAGAAAATTGAGGAAAATAAAATAAATATTCACCTGTTCTCTCACCTCCTTTTCCTTTTTAAAAACTCTGCTCAGATAAAAATGAAGTCTTCAAAATGAAAATTACCTATACCTGGTGAGTGACTACAAATATGAAAGGATTATTAGTTATAAGAGATATCATCTAATTTACAATTACTGCTTGATTCTTGATCTTCACACATGACACCAGCACATTCTTTGAGGTCGCATTGTTCATTTCCTGATTTGGAACTTTTAGCAACTGATAGGGTGCTAAATCAGTAAAGCTGGTACTTCTATCACTTTGGTTTCAAATATCATATATATATGTACAGTGCATATTTATATGTATATTTATATATGCACCCATAAATAAGGTGCTAATGTTGGAAGGAGAAACATTCTTTAATAAGCAGCTTAACACACAAGTTACTCCTTTTGTTTAGCAAATTTATATGACCTTGCTCATATACATTATGACAATTAAGTGTTTTTCCTCATAACTTTAAAGATTATACACATTATTATTTATTATGGGTGCATATATATGTTGCTAATGTAGGAAGGAGAAAGATTCTTTAATAAGCAGCTTAACACACAAGTTACTCTCTTATATGACCTTGCTCATAAACACTGTGACAATTAACTGAGTTTTTCCTCATAACTTTAAAGATTATATGCATTATTTTTAAAGGTTCTGTTCATGTGATTAATAGGTATTAGCTTAATAGTACTCTTGTACCTCATTATAGACATACAGAAGGCAGAATGTCCTTATTAAAACTTATAAATCATAGTTGATTCCTAACAATTCTGAGGTCTGGTGTTAGACAGATTCAAGTGAGTTGTCATGGCTTTGGGGGCAACTCCCTTTTAGTTAGAAAAGAGCCCAGAACCTTTCATGATAGTGGTTTCCTTCTCTTTCTTTTCTTTTTTTTTTTCCCTTGTTGGTATGAGTCAGTATTCACAACATACATAGGAATGAAACTTGGATGTTACTACAAAAGTGTTATAGAAGTTCACATCATTTCATTCTTTGGGTGGGACAGGAGCCCACTCAGTGGTCCTCAGGCTTTACTCTGGGTTATGCACTCTAGAATCACTCCTGGAGGACTCAGAGGACCGTATAGGATGCTGTGGATTAAACCCAGATAGATCACATGTGAGGCAAGAGCATTACCCACCGTACTGTTGCTCCAGCTCCCAAACCCACATCATTCCTTAATCAGATTTCCTACCTAAGGAAGAATATTGTTAGGTTTCACAATTCATGTCACATGCCACAAAAGCAAGATAATGTGAAAACACTGTTCTATTTCTTTATCTTCATAAAATTTGACTTTGTTCCCCCCACCCCCATTTTCTAAGAAAAGGCTGTATTCATTTAAAAATGCACACACAGAGACACAGTTTTGCCTTTCAACTTCGGCAGATCCTGGTGCTTTATAACCTGCCTGGAGTCCTTGCCTTTGCATGGACACGTCTCTTCCCACACACTTTGTTCTGATCTCTGGTCATGGTCACTCTCTCATCCTTTTACTTCTCCAAAGGATACAATGTGTGCTGGCCATGTTAGAATTTATAAGCTGCTGCCTCAGCAAATACCAAGTTGGCCTTTGCAATTATAAAGTCAAAGACTTTGGGTATAGAGTTGGGTTTTTGTGGAAATTGCATATATTGCTGTTGCCTCTCATGGAGCACTGCTTTATTCACAGGTACCCCAAACAAGGCCATGGCTAATAAACTCACACTCTTGTCACACATGGGTTTTTATTTACTGAGATTTTAAGTATCTGAGTCATTTAACCCATGCATTTCTTTTTTTACGTTTACTTATTTGATTTGGGAATCACACCTTGCAGTGCTCAGAGGCTACTCCAAGATATATGCTTGAGTCACTCTCAAGGGTGGTTGGAGAACCATCTAGTGCCAGGGATCAAATATAGTGCTGGTATGTAAAGCAGACACACAGCCTATGGATCTCCAGTCTTTTTTGCTTTTTTGACCCGTTTTTAGAGAACTTTGTGATGATTTTATTCTGTATTAGTTTACTGAAACTGAAGAGATGAGTATTCTTGGTTAATAAAGACCTAGGTGGAACAGTACCTCTGATCTGAGGAAATGTTTTAAAACCCTATATGAGAACACCTATAGGAAACTATCAAATAGACTCAATGATTTTTAATGGTTTACTTTTGTAAATAGAATTGGGTATTTTTTTTTGATTGAGAACAAATGGAAAACAGCATTGTTCTTCAATCAGAGGAAATTGGCATATATTTAACAGCATCAGATAAAAGTTTCTCACTTGTGGCCATGTTTCATAGAGCTGTTAAAAACCCTTGGTTTCAGAGCATAGTTGTCTTAAGGGAACTTGATGTCCTCACTAAGGTAACCTGTATTAAGATTCTGCATATGCTTAGAAGAGGTATGAAACTGTTCTCCTAAAATACGTCATCTTATAAATTGATGCCTCAATAAAAATTTTCAAAGGGATTCTGTGATGTGTAGTAAAACAAAGAGATCTTGCTCCATAACCATCTACTCTCCCTGCAAAAAAACTTGTTGTAAATATCCTGAGGACAGGGCCTGCAAATTCAAATTTTATCAAGAGCCTATATGGAACTCCCAAACAGTGCAGATGGGAGAGCCACAACCATAGGAGATAGATGAGTTAAAACCAACTTGACTTACAATGAACTCTTATTTCTCTCTGCTTAGGTGCAAGTGTAATCTTCATGCCACTGTATGTGTGTATGACAACAGCAAATTGACCTGTGAATGTGAACACAATACTACAGGTCCAGACTGTGGGAAATGCAAGAAGAATTATCAGGGCCGACCTTGGAGTCCAGGCTCCTATCTCCCTATCCCCAAAGGCACTGCAAATACCTGTGAGTAATTTTGCTTGGTGACAACATACTTTGTGCATGATGAGCTGATAGTTCCTCTTCATTTCACTTACAGTTGTGCTTTTCCTCCTCTTCCCAGGTGGCGCATGCCTCTTAGAAATGCACCTCATTCTTTTCTCCCTGTTTTACCCTTTGTAAGCACATTTTAGCACTTGGATCATCTGATGACCTCAGTCTTCCAACTCTCGTGTCGTGTTGGGAAATAAGAGAAATCACTTAATTATTTAATGGATGTAACAGGGCGTTGCTTTTATCTTTTCCAAATTAACTTCCTATTAAATTTTTTTAAAATCCTGCTAAATGAGATTTCATAAGCCCTCCCCCACTCCAAAAGAAACCTATCACTGACTTAACGTTAACAGATTCTAGAAATAATCTAAATGTTTGCAATCTTTTCCCACCAGAATGGGCTTCATCCAGAAGATCATCGCCTCTCTCACTTTAGCTAGGGCTTAACTTTGCAAATGTAACAATTTAAATATTTTTCCCCAAATTTCCACAGTTGAGGGTGTACCTGGCATGGTTCCATTAGCAGATGACAACTTAGGTAAAGAACATGCTTGCACACTTGCCAGTACATTAAGAAAAGGGATGTTTAAAAACAAAGAGTCCCTATGTGTTGACAGGAACCATCAGAGATACCCCATTTCTGTTCACTTGTATGCCCCACTAAAATCCCTGAGCATCTACCGAGACACACATACTGGCATGCTGGAGGAAAGAAGTGATTACTTCCAGAAATCAATTGTTTAGTTCCACGGATAGACTGACTAACCACTTGTAAAAGCCCAAGGCTTTCCCTCTTTGAAAAGTAGAGAATGGCTGAGGTTAAAAATATGCTCGTTCAGGTGGGAAGTAACAGAAACAGCAGGATAGTGAGCTGAAGGGAATGAGAACCTGAAAAGCCATCCGCTCCTTACAAGGCTAAGAATCTTATCAGAAACTTCAAAGCAGCAGCTGCGTGAAACCGAAACCTTAAAAATGAATATCACAGGAACCAAGGCCTTATCAAGTTAAATGTAAGTGTAATGGACCAAATAACAAGCCAGGAAGTGTGGGGGGCATGAAATTATGATAAAATTTCTATGAAGCAGAAAAAATCTTTCAAAGGATTTTTTTTTAAAAATCCTCTTTGTAAGAGAATTCAGTCTCTTTTAGTATTAAAGAAAAAAAAACTGACAGTCTAGCTCCTAAAATTAATATATTAAAGCTCTGTTGAGCAGAAATGTTGATTTTTTTTCCAAGATGATTTTATTAACAAAGACCTAGTGGGTTTTTATTCATTGCTAAGGAACATAAAATCATGGGTTCTGAAGGAATCCTATGAGATTATTTGTCGTGATTCCCCAGAGCTGACTTCCTAAGAATCCTTATCAGTGCAGCTATCAAATTTAGTTTAAGGTTTTCCAAAATAAAAATAGTTCAGGAATCATGGCCCAATGCCTCAATTTCCCTACTGGAACAGGATGAAAGATAGCAAAGTTTATAATAAGCACTTGCTAATTTTCTGGATAACTATGAGGGGTCAACTTGTCCAGGAGGATACTGGAGTGGGTATTTTGTGTTGAAGGCATTGACTTCTGTTCTAACATGATCCTATTCGACTGCCCAGGACTATGCTTCTGTGCAAATTATTCTGCTATTTTTCTCAAGATATTTTCACTAGGAAGAAGCCCTTCTACCAGCCTTTTCTCTAAAGTGAATTTTTATTATAGTCTTTGCTACACTAAACTTGTGTACCTCACATTCAAAAAATCACTGCCTAGCGAATGGAATATGATCTTTTTTAATCTCCCTCATACAGTGTGTTGATCTTTGGTTTCTTAGTTTTTCCTGGGATTCTCTACTTTCCAGACTTTTCCATATCTCTATTAAAATTGCCCTCAATGGGACAGAAAGATTTTAGTGGTTGTCTGAAGAGGTCCAGTTTTGCAATGGAGATAACTCCTTAGATTAAATTTCTGACACATCAGACATTGCTTTAAATGAGCAAGGATGGAAGTAAGCAATAAAATTGTGTGTTTAGTACACAGGTTATTGGACTGATCATTTATCCATTCACTAGCTAGCTATGTAACCCTGATAAAGTTAACTACTTCTTCAACATTCCTTTTTCCATCTCTAATGTGAATATAGTATCAATTGTGGCCTCAGGAATTTTGATAGAATTAAATAAGTTATTTCATGTAATGTGTTTAGCATTACACCTGCCAAAAATTAAGTTTTTGAAAATATTTTAGGATTATTTTCATAAGACAAAGCTCTCAATAGACATTTAAATTATCATAAAAATAATATGATTTTCAATTACTTTTATTAAAGCATTGTTATTTACCAAGCTGTTCATAATAGAATTTCAGGCATACAATGATCCAGCACTAATCTCACCTCTAGTATCACTGACCCTCCACCAAAGTCCCCAGATTCCTTCCATCCTCTCTTCTCCTGAGCAGGCACGTTTTAAAGTCTATTATTGAAATTAGGATTTCATGCTTACAGTATTGTTTGTGCTACAGTATCAATAAATATACACATATTTCTACACCACAAGTGTTCCTGAGGTCTCTCGCCCTTGTCCCTGTTACTTCCCATCTTCCTCATCTTCCTCCCCACCTCCCTCATCAGTTTCATTCCTTCTCTGTTCTTCTCATTTCTATAATCTAGGATTCACGGTAATCTAAGTACCCTTCTTTGATACCTTGAATTCTCCTGTCCTATTATTTTATACACCACAGAAAAGAGAGGTCATAAATGATATTTGTTCTCCTTCTTATTTCAACTTTTTGTGATGTCCTCCACTTCTATTCAAGTTGCAGTGAATTGCATAATTTCATGATTCTGTGAAGATGCATGATATTCCATTGTGTATATATGCAATGCCATTGTTACCCATTCATCTGTAAATAAAGTTGGATCCATATCTCACACCTTACACAAAAATCAATTTAAAGATCTCAGGCCATTACTAATATTGAGGAAATAGAAACAGAATACTCCAAAATTGGACCTCAAAGGTGTCTTCAGTGATACTGGAAAAGGCAAGAGAAGCAAAAGATTAAAGTGTTTCTGCATGGTCAAACAAATTTAAGCTAAAAGACATCCAACCAAATGAGAGAAATTATTCACATTCAACGCATCAGATAAAGGATTAATATCCAAGATATATAGAGCATGCCCAGAAAAATCAACAACAGAAAATCCAAAATTCCCATCAAAAAGTGGGAGAATGAAAAAACAGACACTTCTTGAAGAAGACAGATGCCTAATAGGCACAAGAAGAAGTCTTCACCATCACTCAACATCGAGGAAACAAGGAAATCCAATTCAGGATGGCTATGTTATCGCACATTGTCGATAATCACACATTTCAAAAAAACTTGGGAATAGGGAGCTTGGGCCATAGTACAGCAAGAAGACTGCTTGTCTTGCATGCAGTCAACCTGGATTTAGCCCCTGATATGGTCCCTAGAGCCCACCAGGAGTGATACTTGAGTTCTGAGTCAGAAGTAAGCCCTGAGTACCACTAGCTGTGGCCTAAAACCCAAAAAGAAAACTCATGGAATCAATATATGTTGGCAGGGATGTGATGAAAAAGAAATTCTCATCTATTGCTGGTGGCATTGCTGTCCATTCCAATCCCTACAGAAAACAGTATAGATATTTCTTATAAAAGGAAGAATGGAGCTGCCATATAACCCAACAGTTCCTCTTCTGGAGAATTATCCCCAAGACACAAAAACATTCATTCACAAGGACTTATGAATACGATTATTCATTGCAGCACTATAGCTAGGTTATACAATAAAAGTAATTTCTTGACATCGATACTGAGTCTCTGCTCATTTCCAGTCATTTTTTCTTATATATAATAAGGAACTGTTTAACCCCAGTTTTTTTCTTCTCCAGATTATTTATCAATTCCAATTTTATGTGATTTAAAACATGTTTTAAAACTCAACTGCTTGCTTTGAATTTTTTTTGATATAGTTCTTCAAGCCAAGCTCTACTAGCACTGTTATGATACTTCAGATTAGCTCTTATTTACATTTTACATATAAACACACACACACAGGCACACACATGACCCTAGTTAGTATAGTATAGCACTGCTTAAATTAATTATTTAAGAGGGACACTCGGGGTATTACATATCCTACAACATTAATACAAAACTTAAAAAGTAAAAATAAGCAGCCTGCCCCTCTGATCCCTCAACATAAACTCTTAGTGTCACAGAAAAGCCACTCATACTGGATAATTTTTAGATTTAGCATAATCTTGAACAGCCTGGGTAAATTTTGAATTGGAAAGTCAGTCCCAGCCTGCTTTTAGCAAGGGAACAAAGAGGCTTTCATGAAACAAGGATATTATAGGATCCCCCATTAAAGATACTCAGCCCATCACTCAGAGATGCCCTCAATAGAGACTTAGTAAAGTGGCTATGTGGCTCAGAAAGTCCTGAATTCTGGAGCAGCTCCAAGGCCGCTTGTGTAATGGAGCATATAAAAATGGGAAACAAGAGTACAGAGTCTCAACACAAAAATGTAGCTCAGTTTATTGGACACATTGCTTTCTTCTGTGGTTTTAACTACAACAAGGATAGCAGTGGCAGATATTTTTATTCTTTGTGTTTTTTATTCACAACTGAAGCTGTTTCCTTGATCTTTCAAAGCTGCCTATTTATGTGTATCAAATCTTTTCCTTATTTTTCTAAAAAGCTATTGTTTTGTCTTAAGACATGTTTCTTCTTCTTATTGAACTCCATTCTACTTTTATTTTTTATGGAATTCTATTTGAATGTCATTTGGATTTCATTTCTGTCTTCCAAAGAGACAGAAACTCTGTCCATCCAACTTCACACTTAATGCTTCTCTTGATCACCATTGTGCAGCTCATAACTAAAACCACTAAGTATCATACTTTTAAATTTTGATTCTTGTGGAATAAGAATACATATTATCCTATAGATAAATGTCAAAACT